TGAGAAACACACCCTCTGACACACCTGGGCACATCATCAGCGATGTTGTTTCGGGTCTTTGAACCTCCTCCAGGTGGTTTCAGGTTGGTCGAGCCCCGGCTGGTGTCCAGGTGGCGCTGGCGCCTGCAGATCACCTGGATCCACAGCCATCTTGAGGCGCTTTCTGCGGTGGTTTCGAGTGCCGGCGTCTCCCTTCACCCCTGCTCACCTGCCGCACCGCGCCCTCCCCCGGAAACAGACGTGTGCTCAAGGTGTTGAACTGACCAGGCACACGGGCGCCCGTGCGATGGCAGGGGAAAGCATGAGCTACAAGAGGAAAATCAATTCATCGACGGAAAAGCCTATGTCCTCCTGTGGCCGCCGGTGCAAATGAACTGCGTTGTTGCATTGCTTAATTCCAGTCTTTACCGTTCTTTTACTTCCGGCGTGTGGGCATTTTCGTATGTTGTCTCACCCGCCTGCGACACCCGAGGCTTCACCCCGATTCCGCGGCGTTAAAAGCCTGGCCGTCGCAGTAGTGCTTGAGCGCCACAAGGTGGCGCCCCTCACAGCACCAGCAGTACAGCCAATAGCCAACGGTCAATATTTAAGATTTTCGTCCAGATTTACCGGGTTTACAGCCCCTAGTGTCTCGTACAGTCGTGGTGCCATTTCCGTTTTCATTAGATATTCAATTAGGTGTAAAAAGAGTATAAAACACAGCTCTGTACCAGACTGGCATTTCACATCTGTGCCAATCTTCTGTGATGCTCTGCAGGCTCCCAGTGTAACCAAACGAACACAATGAATAAATGCAATTTGCCCACCCTGTGGTTAAAGACTGAAAGCTTTCACTTTTTATGAACTATAATACAGGGAGGGAAAAAGACCTCATTAGATCAGCTGGGCTTTTTCTCGCAGCAACAAAATGACAGCTGTCTGACTGAAGGTTTGTCATGATGTAACAAGGACTGCCGATTCCCGGAAGGTCAGCTTTCAAAGTGTAAAGAAAGCACACAGATGCAGCTCCTCGGCCATTAGGACACTCCAGCTATTTATTAAACTAGAGCAGGAGGAAATATCCCGACTCCATAGGGATCTGACTAACATCCACAAGGATACTCAGCCCCCAAACACAGACAGCCACTATCCAGGGGTGCTTCGGTCTGAACTGCACACTGGCAAACTAATAAGCCAAAGTAAGTCAGGAAGCTTCAAGAAAACAACCTTCTCGGCTGTCTATTTTGGTGGGGATTTTCTCTCTGCGCTTTTCTATTTTTACTCAACACCAAACGCCTTGATAAATCCTGGCACCGGTTTAGGCTGGCTGGAGCCTCTGCCCCCTAATCCATCGACTGGCATCCCAAATCATGAAACAAAAGCAGGTTCATTCAAGTTTGTGGTGTCTGTGGCCCTGGTTTGAAGAGCAATAGGGCTTTTAATATCAACTGAGCTGCACTTAAACAAATTGAACAAATCTGTTTCATTTGTGCAGCATTAATAGACTTTTCATGCCCTATCTCATCATCCGTTAAAAAAAACTCCCAATAAAACCTTTAGGCTCACTCTAGAACCACAGTTTCAAACTCCTTCTGCTACTGTAAAAATACTCATGTCCCCTCATGCCAGAGTACAGTTCAAGAGTTCACCCAGATGTGGATGTGACAACACTGTCAGAACTACACACAGAATTTATGACTACATTGTTATGACAGCACTGAACTCTGGAACCAGACGCATTTCATTCAGGAAAAATACTCAGAAATACACAGGGCAGCTAAATACTGCACATAGCAACCCTCCTTCCTTAGCCACCTAAATAATTACAGGATTTTTTAGCAGGGTCTGAAAAAAACTGTTGTCATAACCCATGAAATATGGAATGGATCTGTGCAATTCTGTTCTCTGTCCATCAACATGAAGGAGGTTGTGCACTCAGTCATTCCTAGGGCCAGTTTTCCCAGAAGCCAATTAACCAACCAGTTTGTCTTTGGAATGGGGGAGGAAACTGAACCCAGGGCACCAGCGCTGCAAGACAAGTCTTCAGTTCCTAACTGCCCCTGCAGGCGAGCAGTTTTAACAGTCAAGGTGATGGAGCAGCTTTTGTCTGTATTACCCATTAAGGTGAAAGCACAACGCTTTGTCTTAATTGCCCCCGATCCATCTCGCCATGATACATTACTATTGCAAGAAAAAAAAAAATTGAAATGAGCAGAAATGAGAGAAAATGAGTACTGCATTATTCTTGTGTAGCAGAGATGTTCTTTCTATACCTCCTCTACATCACTGGCCATACATGTTCCTTGGGAAACTGAACTGGTTTACAAAGCCGAGAAAGTTAATTTTACCAGTTAATGGAAAACAAATTATCAGAAGAAAAGTAACAGCAGGCTTTTTCCCTCCCCGAGCAGACTGACTATGCTGTGTAAACTAAAAAACTTTAGTCCAACTTAATTTTCCGGCCTAGCCCACATGGGTTAAAAATTATATTCTCGAGTATCTGCAGGCATGGTTAAAATAGCAGAGGTATACCAAGTCTCTGACATCTTTGTAAATAAGTACTAATGCATTCAATGAGGTACCCTTACACATGAACACTGAGGGAGCTATACCACCGCCACCCAGATCATCTGTATTCACGATCATTAAATTGCCAAATTTGTTATTCCCACCTGACAGACCCCTTGGAAGAGTCAGAGTTGTGCACTCCATACTTCCTGCTACAAGCACTGCAAGATCCGCATGGGAGAAGGAGAACCTACCCACCTTTGAGCCTCTGGACATGACCCACAGGCAACACAGCCCTGGCCTGGAGAAGTGCCACTTAGAAAACAGGCTCGTCCCCCCAACCCCTGCAAGCACCCAGCTGGCCACAGGGGGGCACTGTGCTGCTCTAAGGGCCCTGTCTGGATAATCCCACCTGACCCTATGCAGAGCTGTAGGACATGCAGTCAGTTGAAAAGCATCAGTAGGGGAATCACACAGTCACAGCGCGCTGGCGATACAACCAGACTTGAACCCGTGATCAGGGAGATCCTGCTGTGCACAAGGCAGTGCCTGCACCAGCTGAGTGTCTCATTCTTCAGACCCTCCTAAAACATTAACAGGGCAGCGCAGCTGAAACAAGTCTGGGGACTGCAGACTCAGCTTGGGCAGATCCAGCAAGTCTATAATCCAGTGCTTCTTAGTTTGGTCTCAACACTTGCAGTTCCCAGAGGAACACGGCTTTGTTCGAAACTGGACTGTTTTTGTGATGACAGAATCTTCCCTACGTTACAACTTTTTCAAAGCACTCTGTAGCGCTGAATCAAGCCTCCCTGTCCATCAGCAAAAACAGGGCTGCAGGGATGGGCGAAAAAAAACAACAAACAAGCATTTTTGTTTTGGACATAACCGTTCAAGGGAGGGTAGATTTTATTCGCCACACATACAGCAACACTACAACTTCTCCGATAGGCGGGCACATTGCACATACATCTCTTTTACTAAAATAGGTCATCAAGAGACAAATCACAACAGCTGACGAAGAAACAAGGACCTGTCGCGCAGTTACGGAGTTACACACATTACAGGGCTGACCCCGGCATCAGGAAGCTGGAGCACGAATGGGGACCGCAGACGTCGATGCTTGGCCCTCTTCAGCGTGCCCCTCTCTCCGGGAAGAAAGTGAACTATGCTGGGGGGGGCGTGAGCGAGTGAGGTGGGCTGGGTGGGGGGGGCGGGGCTTTGTGTGCGGGCGTGTGGTGCCAGGAAAGACCGGGCAGGCCCCAAGGAAGCGGCAGCACACCTTAGTTGGTGAGGGGGTTTCTGAAGTTCTTGCCTGCAAAGCGAGCCTTGTCTCCGAGCTCCTCCTCAATCCTGTCAAAGAGACGGCACAAAAAAATATCGTCTGTCACTCCGACGCCTGAAACCGCCCACCCAAGTCAGGATTTCATTCAGCACAAAACTGCCAAGGTATCAGTGGGTTGGCTGCCAGCGCTACAAAAACTGTGACGAACGGATTTAAAACCACTCCCTCTCAGTCGGGCAGTGCAGTGAGATCCGTCTCACTGATGGTTTGCCAACAGCAGATTAGATTAGGTATTTTAATTCTGGAATATTTCATTATTTGCTAAAGAAACTTGCACGGAAGTAGAGGTGCAGCTTTTCAGCACTGCGGCCCGTGAGCTCTACCTTAATAGAATTCAACAGCCCTTTTCTGGACACTCCACTCAAAGCGCTTTACACCCCCAGTGTGCAGCCCCACCTGCATGATGCTCCAGTCCGCTCCCAACACAGCAGCTCTCAGTGGGGAGGAGAGCAGAGGGATGAAGCCAGTTCAGAGGTGGGGAGTATCTGGAGGCCATTGTTGGTAAAGGCCTAATGCTCACACCAAAGTCCTGCCAATCTGAGGGACAGGACTATGAGGGCATTTCAAAAACCCACAGGGCAGCTTGAATCCAGTGCAGAGATCATCAAGCAGGGATTCCAGGTCAAAAAGAAGGGAAGCTCTTCAAGGCTGCAGGTCTCGTCCAGTACTCTTCCCCGAGACCTCCAACATGCTCCTTCGCTTTGCGCACCCTGCTTCACACAATTCCTGCATTCAATTTTAAACCCTTCGGAGCCGAGACGCCCAGCGCCCTTACCTGAGAATCTGGTTATACTTGGCCAGACGCTCTGACCGGCAAGGAGCCCCAGTTTTGATCTGCAGGAAAAAAAAAAAATTGGTTTGCAAAACGTCATGTTGACCATAGTGCACCCTGAATTCTCGTGCATGTTAAGATGCTTACGTTTAACTGCACCACAAAGAAGTGCTTTACAACAGTGTTGTCGTTAATACATTGTGAAAATGTTGTAGATAAGACACTAGCTTCTCAATCATATTGCAACACGGTCAGTGAAAGGCTAAAAATTTCAAACAGTGTTTAACAGTGTCTGACTGCATACAAATTATTGAACATTTATGGGAAAAAAGTTACCTTCTTGTATCTTTGTGAATTTTATCTTACACAAAACAATCATGCAGGGCACAATTTCGGCAAACCCTGTGCTGGAAGGCGTGTTTAACAGCTGACCGCGATAAGTCTGTGGCACTTCTATAAGCAGAACCTGTACGGGTTTGGTTTCACCGTTTCCCTTCACGAATCTGTCCCTAGATCAGGTTCAGAAAGACAAAGTCCCTTGCCTGGCCAGTGCAGAGTCCAACCACCAGGTCAGCGATGAAGGTGTCCTCCGTCTCCCCCGAGCGGTGACTGACCATCACTCCCCAGCCGCTGGACTGAGCCATCTTGCAGCTGCACGTGGAAGAAAAGACGCAAGATCTTACACGACGGTTTGAAAGGCCGGCAAAGCTACAGGGATTTGTTCCCCAGTCAGCCTGTGCAGCTGCTGTGGTAACTCACCCTGGAAACACAGTACGCTTCACCAGGGCTTTATGCTGGACAATGACCACACTGAACCAAGAATGCAAAGATAGCGGAGTCAGTACTGAAAGACGATGGCCCACTGGCTTAAGGGGACCCTGTAGATCCTCTCCCCCCCACAAAAAAAAATAAAATAAAAAAAATCAACCAACAATTCTGAAAAAAGTACACAGGAAGTGGGCAGCAGTACGTCTCTCGGCTGAACCCTCTGTTCTGGGTTTCATTCCGGAACGGAAACGAAGAGCAGCCCTGCGTGGAGGGAGTCCCACATGACCAACTCAACGGACAAGGGGCTGCGTCCATCCAGAAAGCCTCCAGCCTCGGGTGAAGTCCACCGCTTTTTGTAAAGAAAGCTTCCCCCTCTTCCCCAAAAAAATCTCAGCTCCCTTGCAGCTCGGCCCAGCGCCGTGAAACCGAGGGGGGGGGGCGGCCGGAGGGGACACTCACGCCTGCAGCGACTCGGTGACGGAGCCGATCTGGTTGACCTTCAGCAGCAGGCAGTTGCAGGCCTTGTCCTCCACGGCCTTCTTGATGCGCTTGGGGTTCGTCACCGTCAGGTCGTCGCCCACCACCTGGATGGTGGTGCTGCCGGTGAACTTGGACCAGGCCGCCCAGTCGTCCTGGTCGAAGGGGTCCTCGATGGAGACCACTGTGGGGGGGGGGGTTTGAGCGCATGCGTTACACACAGCTGCACAGCACCCGGGGCCAAGACGCTGCCAAACCCGGGGCCCCAAAACCAGAGAGTCACCCCATTTCTGCAACCCTACAGTTCAAGACGAGCGTCACCCACCCACCCTCTAACTGAGAGAAATAAAAGCCATGCAGGGTGCCAACTCAAT